GCGCCACAGCCACAGGCTGATACTGCCTGCTGGTCTCGTTTTGCAAGACGTAGGGATAGATGTGTTCGGTTCTCCAACGTATAGAGACCCAGCCAACAGATGTATGATTATGTGCATCGGTGGTTCAGCAGTAGAACCCTCTCCAACCACGCTTCACGTGGTCTGGGGCTCGATCCTCAGCCGAAGCACTCCTAAACCTATTTAAACTGCTGAAGAGGGAGAGAAACTTCAAAGCTCCAGCTTGAAGTCTTATGTTCCACTGGGGACTTAAAGGAATAAAATAAATAATAAAGCAAGTTGATATCAGTTAGAGAACCGTTGAAAACTAGCACTAGAGTACTGGACAGCCAGCTGTTTCATTCTATTTTGGGAATCATCGGCAGTGCGCACCTACTGAATGGCTTCGAACCCAGGATCCTTCCGGTTACAAGGCAAGCTAGCTCGTATACCATTCAGCCACCGAGATCCGATTCAATGGCTTGCCCATGAACTCTAACTTCTACCGATTCGTGATGCATTTAGCGCGACTATCAACCAATGGAGTGATATCAGTTAGAGAACCATTGAACATCAGGGAGGACTGAACAGCTGTTACATGCTAGTTTGTGAAACGCCGTCCTGTAGCAGCAAGTTACTAGTGAGCAGTGAGGTCCTCCATCCAGTCAAGTGTGAGGATGGATATCGCGCCGATGACCAATGGTTGGTGGTCGTGCTAAATCACTAATTGGTGGAAGTTAGAATTCATGGTCTGGCTGCCATTGAACCGGGTCTCATTGGCTGAATGGTATACGAGCTAGCTTGCCTTGTAACCGGAAGAATCTTGGGTTTGAACCCGGGTGGTGGATGCGTACTGACGATGATTCCCAAGCACTAGGATGAAACAGCTGGCTATCCAGTACTCCCTGTGGCTGGTTTTTCAATGGTTCTCAAACTGTGATATCAATCCGTGGTCAAACTTGTAAAAAACTAAACCTAATTCTTACAAACCAGCCTTTGAAAATAAAGTAAGTTGTAAGTAGCTGTGTGAATACATTGATGATGATGATTATATGATTATGAACAACAATAAATTTATGCTTGAAACATTGTCCAGTTATTGAATTCTGTGTCATCACAGTGTGTGTGTGTGTGTGTGTGCGTGCTTTATATCAAGTGAACGTATCTAACATGAGACTATATTCTCCTATTAGTTTGTTTATTAGATGGATATTTCACACAGTCAGTGAAACAGTATTATTATTTACTGGATGACAAAGTTTCGAACGCAATTCACTTATTGTTCATAATCATATCGCCAATTATAATCACACGACTTCGAAACTTGAGTTTTATAGTTCTCTTTGTCTTCCCCTATTTGTCTTCTAAGGCGTGGTAGTAGCATTTTCCAGATGTCTGGGTGCACATGTGTTGAATCATTCCTATTACACGTATTCTATCTCAGTTGATTCGATAAACAAAGCTTCTGTTATCAGTAGATCTTTTTCTCTCCACCCTGTTATATTCGATTTTACAACTGTCATCTAATCCCATCCTATTGTATGGTTGTGTGCAATTGCATGTAGTGAGTGGTATAGCTGAACTATTCTCCAGATTTCTTATCTTATTCAGGTCAACTAATCTAGATTTTGCTGCTAGGCTTTTATGTTCTGCTAGTCTAACTGCCTCTGTTCTACTAGTTTGACTTATGTATTTGACCTGACAATCATTGAAGGCAGGATATTAGATAAACTAAATTGTTTATTTTTAAAGGCTCCACAGGATCGATCCTTTAACTGACAAAGCTTGTTTCTAATTGAGTTTGTGGTTGGTTTTAGTGCCAGCCACTTTTTATTACTGCCTGCCTTGTTAAGAATTCTCCTCTGTAAGGTGGTTTCCGAGGTTCCTTCCTTGTATGGAATTACTACTGATGATGATTTGGAATATGGAATTACTTACTCTACCACAGTGCCTAAGTTTTACATATATATATCACGCATAATGAAAAACAGCACGATTAAACAAACAACTGTCCAAGTGGAAGTAGTCGATAAAGGCTAGTAAAAACAAATGAACCGATTAAGTAATATTAGATTGTAAGGGAAGGAAATGAAACACGTTTATAATGAAGATGTGATAAGATTAAGGGATGATAAGAAAGGAGTTGAAAACATAAACAATATCAACCCCTTTCTTATCATCCCTTAATCTTATCACATCTTCATTATAAACGTGTTTCATTTCCTTCCCTTACAATCCAATATTACTTAATCGGTTCATTTGTATTTACTAGTTCCATAATGGATAAGATTTTATTTTGATAAATCACACAGTGTTGTACAGTGATATTAACTGATGACCACGATTCGAGCACAAACTATTGCTCATATTCATATCAAGTTACTCACACATCCTTCTTTCCTTCATTTATATACATGTGTGGAATTGATGATTAGATATTGGAATAAAATTCAATATGAGATAATGTACATTCAGAAATAATAATACGAGTGTTAGTAATCAGTTAAAATTAGATGGGAAATAAGACGAGTGTTTTTATAGTAAAATAAATAAGTAACTTGTTAGAATGTTATGATGTGTTTGAATTGAAATAGAATTTTAAGATTATTTATTATCCTCCTCCGATTTGATCGGCGGTAATAATAACTTAATGAGACAAGCTCTGTAGGCTAAAAGACCCAGTGGACCCAATTAAACAAAATAATATAATTTACAAAATACTCTGCAATGACTGTGAGGTCATCTATATAGGTCAAACTAGTAATCAGATTGTCAGAACATAAGAATTTAGCTAAGGTAAGAATGGTTGACCCCGAGAAGATAAGTTATTTAGAAAAAAGCTCAGCTATTGCACTTCACGCATTAACAAACAACCACTCAATAGCATGGTGGGAGAGGGTTAAAATTCTAAAAAGTAATCGAGGTGGGTAGAGAGAGAGGTTGATTACTGAATCCTTGTTCATCGAGTCTATACCCAACACAACACATGCAACAGAAATGACTCAATGCAAATACCAGAAATATGGAAGATGTTATTACCACCAGTCAGTCATATCAGAAGAGGATAATAAATAATCTTAAAATTCTATTTCAATTCAAACACATCAAAACATTCTAACAAGTTACTTATTTTGACTATAAAAACAATAGTCTTACTTCCCATCTGATTGTAATTGATCAATAACACTCGTATTATTATTTCTGAATGTACATTATCTCACATTGATTTTTATTCCAATATCTAATCGATTCCACACATGTATATAAATGAAAGAAAGAAGTTGTGTGAGTAGTGCCTTGATATGATTATGAGCAGTAATAATTTGTGCTCGAAACGTGGTCATCAGTCAATGTAACTGTACAACAAACACTGTGTGATTTATCAAAATAAAATCTTATCCGTAATGGAGTTATACTCTACCACCACAGTGCCCAAGTTTTATACTTACGTATTTACTAGCCTTTATCGACTACTTCCACTTGAACAGTTGTTTGTTTAATCATGCTGTTTTTCATTATTCGTGATATATATATATATATATATATATATATATATGTATATATATATTAATATATTCTCCTCTACATTGCTGAAATTCTAATCTCTTGTCAACACTTTTTATTTGTCTTCTTTTTGTTTAGAACAAAATATTTAGAGCGAACAATTGTTTTTAATAAATTCTTCTTCAGGTTCTACAATTATAAATCCATTAATTTAAGCATACAATAGCCAGCCAGTAAAGGCAAATTAGAATCATATCAGAAAGTGTTTTGTGGAACAAGTATAAGTAAGATGGGATGGAACAATAGTCAGATAGTTTTTTTCATATGCATGGTCAATGAGAACACGGGACAAAATCAGATGAAGTAATTTAATTTAATGTTGTGTATATATATATAAATATAGTCAACAGAAAATACAGGTTTCGAGAGTGAGTGTGTGAGACAATATGAAAATAGACCAACGAATGGGGCGGACTAGACATGAGTTCAAGGTTGAAAATAACGACAGTAAGAATGATTGTAAAATAATAACGATGATATGGTGTAAAATTACATGCACTATTGGTGAATGATTGTCAAATAATAATAATAATAATAATAATAATAATAATAATAATAATAATAATAATAATAATAGAGAATATAATGAAGTGGAATGAACAGGATTTTGTAAATACGATAGCAAGCTAGAAAAGCACTACTTAAACCTAAGGTAGTAAAATCATAAAAAAGATCATGAAATCATAAAAGTCGAAAATGAACGTTTGTCAGTGAAAAAGAGGAATAGAAGAAGAAGAAAAGAAAAGAAAGTTGTGAAAGGAATTTATAGTGTTAATGGAGGATTTGTTGGCTTTATTGTAGGCCAGGGTAAACATAATGGTTGAACATATTTCTTCTGTATGCAAAGAGATGGTCTTCTGGTATTAATTGCCACCGCTTCAGCTACTGATAGAAGACACAGTCGAGCTCCTCTAGATAAATTACTAGGAATGCGGTAAATAACTGAGAACGCCTGGTCAAGTTTTATCTGGTGTCCAGTATCTACCAAGTGGGCTAAGACTGCACTATTTACACATTTGGTTATTCCTTTACTCAACCATATAGGTACATGTTCACACGCGTGCATGGATAAAGCCATCTGAATTCGGTCAATGTAACTAGCTCAACATGAGCAGTTGAATTCATAGATGCACATTGATGAGGCCATCTTTGGTAATTTATCCTTTACTTGCTGTGTGAGTACTGACTTAGTTGAGAAGTTGATTACCAGTTTAGCTGCAGGAAATGTTCCACTTGTTCCACAATACACTTTCTGATATGATTCTAATTTGCCTTTACTGGCTGGCTATTGTATGCTTAAATTAATTAATGGATTTATAATTGTAGAACCTGAAGAAGAATTTATTGAAACCACAATTGTTCGCTCTAAATATTTTGTCCTGAATAAATTATGGGAATATTCAATTTCTTTTTGTTTGTTTTGTTTTTTCTTTTCACAGCTCTTTTCTCCTGATTGTATATTTAACTGGAAAGAATTAATTTTCATCATCATGGATGATCAAGTAGGTAAATCTATCTCCTGAATGATACGAAATAATAATCCTTTCTCTTCTTCCTTCCTTGCCTTCTTCTTCGTATAGCATCAAATGCCATGTTGGTATTACGAGAAAGAAGAATTATATAAAACACCATCATATTATGATAATATTGATCATGAAACAGAGACAAGACATCGTCGTGAAGGTGCAAGATTTCTATCAGCTGTCAGTACAAAATTAAATCTACGCTATGATACATGTGCTACAGCTATTGTATTCTTTCATCGGTTCTATATGTTTCATTCTTTCAAAGCATTTCCACGTTATGTAAGTATAAAGTCTATCTCTGTGTTTGTTTATATAATTGTGTGTTTCCTAGGTGACAGCAGCTTGTTGTTTAATGTTAGCTGGTAAAGTGGAAGAAACACCGAAAAAAGTTCGTGATATTGTTAAAACAGCTAGATCATTATTATCGGATGAAGATTTTAAACAATTTGGAAATGATCCAAGGGTAAGCTAATGATGATGATGATGATAATGTTTGTAGTCGTTGTCATGGTAATGATGGCGGTCTTTTTAAATTCACTTTTCTTTCTCATTTAATTTTATCCTTGTTCTACAGGAAGAAGTTATGGCCTATGAACGTGTTTTATTAAAAACAATAAAATTTGATTTACACGTCTCACATCCATATTCATACCTGTTACAGTATGCTAAACGAATAAAAGGTTAGTGTGTCTACTTTTGTTTGTGTGTTGTGAATTTTTTTGTTGTCTTTAATCTGTGTAATTATACATCACCTAGTTGACTGACTGACTAGTTTCAACATGTGTAGAACTTTACACAGGTGTACGAATGTTCGAGTTGTCACACTCCTTCCCCCCTTGTAGCACACAAAATAAGAGAAGAGAGTAGGGAGAGAGATAATAAACAGAAATATTAGGCAAAAACAGAATAGTAATATAGAATAACAATAGAATTTTATTGGATTTAATTGGTGGATGGTGACTAGCAGTGGAATCCAGGATAACGTGCATTTCGTCCTATTTGGGACTCGTCATCTGGATGTTCCTGCATTTCCTATGGTTTCAAACGCCAAAGCATTATCCACTAGAACACTTGGGCACTGGGTTCGAGCCTCTGTGGGGGGAACATCATCATTCACTAACTGAAGAATGCAGGTAGATCCAGTTGGCTGACGAGTCCTAAATAGGACGAAATGCACATCCTGGCTGGATTCCACTGCTAGTCACCATCCACCAGTTAAATTCTTATTACATGCCCAGATATCGTCGAAGCATATGCACAAGAAGCCAACAGATATGTCAACCTGAGACCGAGCACTTCGGTCTAATCAATTGATGGAAAATTCTAAAATTCAATTAAATTTTGAAATAATAGAGAAGATTTGTAGCTCAAGTGGATAATTTGCAATTAATAATGTTCCCTGAGCTGGTTGGTTTAGTTGCGAAGCTTTCGTCGTCCTTCTGGGCGTCCCCTTCGAATCAGAATCCAAGAACACAAATCAGCCGTGAAAAGACACGATATGTATTCTTTAGTATCAATGCATATAGACAATTATAGTCATCAATTTGATTGGGATAATGTCAAAATCTTAGACAGAGGAAACACCGAAAGTGCAGTCAGGGAATTCCTAGAAGCCTGGTACTCAAACGAAAATGCAATTAACAAACACGGTAATATAGACGAAATATACCAACTAATAAAAAGTATATTAGGTGACCAGAAAGTTTAAAATCCAAGTCAGTAGAAAATGGTAAATACATATGTAAAGATAGTTACCGGGGGACGTAATTATATCACTCATGAAGAAATTTAAATCATTTCACTTTGTGCTAAATATTGCGCTGAAAGGGGATGTTGTCTAGAGGGGGGACGACGAAAGCTTCGCAACTAAACCAATCAGCTCAGAGAACACTATTAATTGTCAATTAAATTTTATTGGATGTTATAAACCACAAAGAGTGGATGCATCTACGTTTTCATTGAGAACAATTTTGAGCCTATTCACTAATTGTCTCCGGCCTTCCTTAGTTTTTCCCACCCCGAGGACCCCAACCAGGAAGTCTAAACCTCTCGATGTGACTGGTTTAAACTAACTGTTATGGATTTCATTGACTGATGCCTTGATTGGACACTCGTTACTAACTAGTCTCATGTGTCTAGTCCTCGGTGGTTTGATGTAGACTGAATTCTATCGTCAGTGAAGTTTGCAATGTGGTCACCATCATTCTAGGTGGCTCACCATCACGATGCACTGTGCGCGAACTTCAAAAAGCAGCGTCCCAGGAGTGCGAACGCTCCAATGACCTGGAAAGCATGCTAGTTGTTGGCTAACGGCACCTGTCACATTATCACAGCTGAAATATCAACGCTATTCACCAGCTAAGCAGCAAATTTCACCCAGATCCCGTTTTTAAGTACTGTTTTTGGACAATGTGTTAATTTAAAACAGCGGTTAGGACGCTCGCCGACCATGCACATGGTCCGGGGTTCGATCCCCGGCCGACGCACTCCTTTACCTCTCTAAGTCAGTAATAGAACTGGCAAAGAGGGAAGGTTGGGCATGAAGCTAGCAACCTCATCCTGTAAAAATAAACACTGCTACAGAAACTTCAAGCGTCTAGCTTGAAGCCCTATGTTCCACTGAGAACGTGGAGGAATAAAAAACCATTAACCATTATGGAGTTATACTCTACCACAGTGCCCAAGTTTTATACTTATATCAAAAAACGACCCCTTTTATAAATTTGGATAGTGTTATTAGAAGACGGAGATTATCTGAAAAATAATGTGATGCATTTGCGCTATACATTTCAAACAATCTGACCACACATTTACTTTTCAAGTCGATATATATATATATATATATATACCAACTTCGTCTATAGCTAAACACCTAATCGAGGTGAACCATAAGATTGATGTTAACTTAGCCTTTAAGGTCATCTATAAAAACGGTCAAGGGCGCTGTATATTCAGAAACAGTTTATTATTATTCTTAACCTACCTTGGTAATCCTTATTTGATTGGATTACCAAACGTTTGTGTTAATTATTCTTAAATCTCTTTTTGTCACTTTGTTTAATTTAACTTTTCCATATATACATCTACTTGACAAGTAAATGTGTAAGGGATCAGATTGTTCGAAATGTATAGCGCAAATACACATCACATTGTTTTTCAGATAATCTCCGTCTTCTAATAACGTTATCCAATGTGTTAATAGCTCATTAGGGTTAAGGTAAGTATTGGGATTAGGGTTAGGATCGGGGTCATAATTAGTATTAAGCTTAGGTTTACTTTTTGATGTGGTTTTTTTGGTTCTCTGAGCTGGATAGTTAATTTGCGAAGCTTTCATCACCCTACTAGGCGACATCTTCAGCGCATACTTCAATTTGAAGTGAGCTTTTAGATTTCTCCAAGAGTTTATTAATCATCTCTCCCGGTGACCTTGAACGCCGTGATTGGTTGTTTTTGTGCGTTTTCACGCCTTCTAGGCTACTTGTATTGGAACTGGTTGTTTCTTTGACTTGAAATTTGACCCTCTGTGTGTGAGGTTTCTTTCTTATCGGTTGATAAATTTTGTCAATCTCGATGTGTCTATTGATTGATGATTCACTGGAATGCCAAGCTTCTAAAAATTCTCTAGCATTTTTTTGTTTCCTCTGTCTAATATTTGAACATTGTCTCAATCAAATTGATGTCCGTGGTTGTCTGTATACAGAGATATGAGCGAGGGAGTGGATATCGTGTCTTTCGACAGCCAGTTTGTGTTCGTGGATGCATAGATGAAGAGGGTGTCCATTTTGGTCAGTGTAGTGTTTTTCGCAGTTGTTACAATTTATCTTGTAGATGATGTTGGTTTAATCTTCTTTCGCTGTTGAGTCTTTTGGTTGACATAGAGCCAGCCAGCTGAGTTAAGTGTTTTTGTCGGTTTGTGTGCGACCTCAATTCCTAAAGGTTTGACGAGTCTTGCAGTGATTTCTGATATATCCTTTATATATGGCAGGGCAACTTTCTTTGTGCTTTCCTTGGGGGCTTTTTGTTTGATAGGTTGGCTTGGGGGTATATGTCTTTTAATGAAATTTCGTGGATATCCATTTTTTTTGGAAGACCTCCATGAGATATCTCTCTTCAATTTTCCTTATGGTTAGGTTTACTGTTAGGATAAGAACTGTAATTAGGGTTATGATTAAGGCAAGTAGTCGACGATCCTCTTACTGGAAACCATAGTAATTCAACCGATGGCTTTTGAGGAGGACTGCACAACAGGATAAGAGAAATGAACGATTCACAAAAACAGATCATCTTCAGTCACCTCGGTGAATATACATGTACAGAAACTTGTCTAACTTAGCAACTCTGATACTCCTCATTATAACTGGGATGTATTTTTAAGTCATGTCAGAGAAAGATACCCTGTGTTAATGTGTTTTCATGCATTTTCTTGTAAATATACGTCACCTTTTGTGTGCAAAAGTCACTTACTTTTATGATTGGTCGGCTGAAGGTCACTCGTGCGTTCGCATCTATTGGGAAGCTTATTGTTGAACTTTTCCGCAATGTGAACTGTCTATGTAAGATGGTCGGAGGCAATCAGTGGGAAGTCTTGGACATAGGTTCCGTGCTAGTTGGCACTCATCAGTCGGCAAGGCGTATCTGGTGGCCACATTGCAAACTGGACTGACGATAGAATTCAGTCTGCACCAAACAAGCGGCTAGACACACTTGTCACTTGTTAGTAACTAGTGTCCCATCAAAGTATCCAATACAGTTAGTCCTATAGGAGGTCAGTTGCAATGCTGAATATCTCCTCAGTGGTAATGTCTCTGACTACAGCACTCACTGGGTGGTGTGGGTTCGAATCTCAGAAGGAGAGGGGCATGAGTTGTTCCTTCAAGGTTATAGATAGATACGCCACCTTGCTGACTGGTAAGTGCCAAACAGCAGGAAACCTGGGCCTTGGCAAGGGTTTCCTGCCAGTTGCCTCCAACCATCTAATACTAGGCTATCTTATGTCTGGGAACTAGAGAAGGTTCGGTGTGGAGCTAGCGAACTCACCTATAGCTGCGAAAAATTTGGAAGGCAGAAAATGTAAACCTAATCTTCTATGGAATCACAAAAACTTGTGAATTCGAGGACGGATGACACTGGCTTGGGAAAACTTTATTATTAGGATAGTCAGTAGGCTAATAAGCTTTACTAAGCCCAAGGACATGGGCTTAAACATTCGACTCACAGCCTCTTCGGCTATGTGTAAAAGGCGGGCTCGAATTCCGTTCGAAAGGCTCGATGGAATGCGATAGATAACTTTGAAGGCACTATTTCTGTCCACTTGGTGACCGCTATCAATCGAAAGCCAAAATAGAACTTCTTATGGATTTTTTATTTGACGTTTTCCGAACCATCAAGGAAGATACTCATTAATACGTTTGTTGAGCTGTCTAGTTGTTTGCCTTATATAGTTCTCTCCACAGGAGCAACTAAATTTGTAGATACACAGAAGTGGCACAGCTAGGTAACTTTTCTTTCGCTTGAGCAATGACAAACAGAGGATGGCGGTAGTATAAGTCCGTTTTATTGCTCTCGATAATCTCAGGTGTAAGACTTTACTAGCCACGTCCCCACTAAATTTCAATTTCATGAACAGTTGTTTCTTTTCAACTGTTGTCAGCTTCTCTTTATTGCACCTGGTGTTCATGTGTCTCCTTACAAATCTACTAGGATAACCTATTTGGACCAGAGTATTTTGGATGTATCCTAACTCATTTTCTAGGGAGTCATCTGTAAAGATTCGTCTTACTCTATTTGTGAGGCGGCATCTGACCAAACTGATTTTGTATCGGATTGGTACAAAACTGACGTAGGTTTTCTATGGACATCTCTCTTGAGTGAACCATCCTCTCTTCTGCTCAATTGGACATCAAGGAAATGTAGTCTACCATCATGTTCTTTTTCACAAGTGAAGATGAACGATGGATGTGCATCATTAAATTTTTTTATTAACATTTCATTCTTGTCAGCTTTCATATGAATAATAATAATAATAATAATAATAATAATGGCTTTATTCCAAACAGTATTTGTGGTACAGGTATGGAATTTTCAGCGTTCATTACAATATTACATCTAATTACCTCATAAATTTTATAAGGATTTAGAAATATAAAGCAACAACAACAAAAAGAAAAAGAGAAATAAAAGAAATAAAATAAAAAAGAACAGCATTACATTCACATATTTAAACAGTGCACCACAGGATACGATATATAAAATTAGTCTGTAATAGAATATATGAGCAGCAATATAATAGTAACAAAGAAAGGAGAACAAAAGCTAATGGGAACTATTTGTTAGAGTGCCGCAGTAAATTGATCATGTCATGCCTAACAGTTTTCTCATCACATAACAGCTGTGCCAGATAAGGTATTGTGGAGTTTTTATACTTGGTAGTCCTGGCATATAGCTTCCTATAGTTACTTCTAGTTCTACCAGATGATATGCAAGGAGAGAGCTGTGTATAGAGAGGATGCTCAGGGTCTGACAATATAGAATTCGCTAGTTTCTTACATGACATTATATGTCTATCCACTATGGTGTTAACCAGTTGGTTTAACGATATCCCACTTGCCCTACTAACAGCTTTTAGTGCCCTACGCAGCGAAGCAAAGTCTTTCTTAAGTAGTCCTGGAAAGATTAATGGGGAGCAGTAAAGAGGGATGGGTAGAATACAGGAATTGACAAACTGAGAAAGTAAAGACTGCTTTATACCAGACTGCCTAAACTTCCTAAGGTAGAACGTTAAGCGAAACATCTTTCTAGTCACTAGCAAGATGTGAGAGGACCAGGAAAGATCGGAGGAAATACTCAGTCCAAGGTACTTGACATCTGATGTAGTTTCAACCTCTATGCCGTCTATGATAGTGGGACCATGTGAGCTAGCTAGTTGTTGAAGGTCACTTTTTCGTCTGAAAGTAAAATTTACTACCTGACATTTAGACGGATTCAGCTTAAGACCGTTTGAAGAGGACCACTGACTAATTTCCGAGAGAAAGTTATTTAATATGGAACAGTCTGACTGAGAGTTGACAGGCATGGAGACAGAGAGGTCATCAGCATACTTGACAAAAGTGGCTACATCAGAATGGGGCAAGTCATGTAAGAAAAAAGAAAACAGAAAAGGAGAAAGAACGGCACCTTGAGGAACACCAGCTAAAGTAAGTGAGGTAGAGGAGGACTTTCCATTGTAGACAGTGTACTGCTTCCTATCAGAAAAGTAGGAATACAACCACTTATTTATCCAGCTCTCACTCTGTGTTGCAGCAAGCTTACTTAACAAGAGAGACCTAGGTACAGAGTCAAATGCAGATGTGTAATCAAGGAAGGCACACCGAACATATTTGGCTCCTCTATCTAAACGTATCATCAACATAACGAAAATAAGAATCAGTTTTATCTATGAATTCATATGAACTGTGATCAAGATTTGACCGGATAGTTGCAAAATAATTGAGTGCCGAGTGAGAAGTAGACATTTGTAAAAAATTATATTTGTAAAATCTCAGCGAAATTGAAATGCGTAATTCCAACGTTTCCTGCATTCGGCAATCTGGTCCGAACTTCTTCAGAGAAATTAATAGAAATTAACATAACAAAGATCTATATATAAAAGGAACATCTCTTGTTTTTGAAACTTTGTCCAATCATGAGTCATGAAACAGGCATCAACATGTATAATAAAGAAAATTGTATGAGCTGTGATCAAAATTTGACCTCAAACTTTAAAAATTAGTAAACAAAATTGTATGTTTCAAATGAACTGTCGTCAAGATTTGACAGAATAGTTCTAAAATATTTGGGCACCGAGTGAGAAGTAGACATTTGTAAAAAATTATATTTGTAAAATCTCAGCGATATTGAAATGAGTAATTCCAACGTTTCGTTCGGCTATCGAATTAAATTAACAAAGAAACTGTGTAATTGGCACAATCATCGTGTTTTCACTCGCCGTTGTCTGCAACCGAATGGATATCCTAAATCCGTATCTGTCGAGTCACCTGACAACTCCAGTAGGTCGAATAAAGCAGCTCAATATTCAGAAAGAAGACAATGCAATAAGTTCGACAGGGCGCTTAAACTAAACTCTAATCCTAAACACCATAATTTTGAAAATACGTCTAATCATAAAATTCTAGATACTAGCAGTTTGAACGGACATGAAGGTTTGATGTTAGCTGATGCATAGGAAATCCTGATTGATAAATAAAAATGGATATGTATCACTAATTAATAATATTTGGTCAAATTCCTGACTGTCTATATCTTCTTACGGAGACGTTAGGAAATGTTTTACAACTGTTTACCCACACACACGCATGCACACTCTGTTTAAAGTGTTTAACAAAGGTAGACCAATATTTGTAAGTCCGAGGTCAAATTTTGATCACTGCTCATAAAATTTTGTTTATTATACTTGTTAATACTTGTGTTTATGAATCATGATTGGATAAAGTTTTTAAAAACAAAAAAATGTGCCTTTTATATATAAACCCCGGTTATGTTAATTTTGATTAATTTCCCTAAAGAAGTTCGGACCAGATTGCCGAACGCAGGAAACGTTAGAATTACTCATTTCAATATCGCTGAGATTTTACAAATATAAGTTTTCATAAAATTGTATGCTTATATATAAAAGGATATCGCTTGTTTTTAGATTGTTTGTCGTGTCATATGAATCATGAAACAGGTATCAACAGGTATAATAAACAAAAATTGTATGAACTGTGATCAAAATTTGATCTATGACTTGTTTCAATGGAGCATTCAGAAATGCAGTTACTGAAAATCCAAGACCTCAATCTTGAAGTCTTATGTTCTACTTGGAATACAGTGATTTTCAACTCCAATGTGAAGTCAGTGCTACTATACGGATCAGAGACTTGCATTGCGCGTCATGGAAAGCATCTCAAACAAACTACAAACCTTCGTTAACAGTTGTCTTCGCTCAATACTACTCAAGATCAGATGGCCGGCCAGAAAAGATCAGCAACAGAGATCTCTCGCAGCGAACCAACCCAGCAGGAACCGATTGTGAAACAAACAGGCAGGAAGAAATGGAAGTAGGTGGATTGGCCATACTCTGAGGAAACAAACCATCAAGTGACATCACTAGACAAGCCATTGCTCGAGTGGAACCCGAAAGGGAAGCGGCGAGTTGGTCGTCAGTACAAGGGTGACTTGGAGGAGGTCATGTGAAGAGGAGATGAAAACGTGTGGGCAGACTTGGAGCCAGGTGAAAACTCTAGCAGAGAACCGAACCCAATGGAGACTCACTGCTGAAGCCCTATGTTCCTCTAGGAATTAAAGGATACAATAATACAACAGTAATAATAATTCTTTTTGTTATTCTTTTCATTTCCCACTTAGGTAATCAAGAGAAATTAAAGGAATTAGTTCAAATGTCATGGTCATTTATTAATGACAGTTTAGCAACAACCTTATGCTTACAATGGGAACCTGAAATAGTCGCTTGTGCTGTCCTATATTTAGCTACACGTATGAGTAAATTTGTTATAGAAGATTGGGAAGGCCGTCAACCAGGTCAACGTTGGTGGGAATGTTTTGTTGAAGGAATGAGTACTGAAGTAAGTAAATTGTTTTGTTTTTTTCTTTCAGGTAGGTAGTTAGCTTGGGTTCTAATGGGAAGTTGTGACGAGTGAGTAGGGTACAGGACATTGGCTAGTGCCAGTCGTGTGCTATATCGTGAATTCGTGGACTGGCCATAGGGTCGAGTGCCGGTGGCCTTAATGGTCTATGTGTTATTCGTCTTGTAACCGGAAGATCTTGATCTGCACACAGACTTGAGAGAAATGAAAGCTCGCCTTGATTTCCCGATCCTCGCCTTGATATCCTCGTCAGTTCAGCCTGTAGTTGAAACGATGCTTCCCAGGTAGGTAGGTAGGTAGGTGGGTAAAGGAGGTCACTTCTTACAGATTTCTCCCATTTTCGCCGGCTGATTGTTGTCTGCTATTGTTGCTGTTGGTGTTGCCCGGGAATCTTCACCACCTACCTCTGTTTTCTCTACGTTCACCTGAAGGAAGTCCTATCTTCTCTGGATGCTTCTTCTGCCAACTTCTTGCTTTTCACTTGCATATCTTCCAGTTTGTGGGAAATCAGACAAATATCACCGGCGAAGTCCGGATCCTCCAAGTTTTTTGTGTGGGTCCAATCATAGATATGACTTTGTGTTATTCCCTTAGTGACTGGATTGTTTCCCGTGAATGTATGTGTGTTTTCGTATGAAGACGTTATCCTCACAGGGTTCAGTTCGGATTTACAATTTTTTGGTTTAATTCCTTATAACCTCTTCTCCTCAAAGGGAGGGGGTGGAGATAGACTATACATCGGGTTTACTTATCGTCCAAATGAAACTTGTTACTTTCGTTACGGTTCTATTCGCTAATAGTATGACTTCTCCCTCAGATCCCCCAACATAGTGTAAAGCACCGACACGATCGTAGGAATGTCTTTCATTGGACCCCTATCCAAATGACCCTCCTTCTAATATGATAGTACCTGCAGGAAACCATTCATTCAAGTCAACATATCTATCTGCTTGGGTCGTTGTGATATGAAAGGCGAAACCGCCACCATGTCTAGGCCATTCCTTCAAAAAGCTAATTCGTCAGTGATTAGTCTAGATTTTTATGAATTTCTGTGCATTTGGGCGTGTAATATTCAAACATATCATGGGAATATGTATTCCAAACTTCGATTGTTTTTCCATTCCTTGAGTTGCGAGTGGAACTTATTTGGGGCTTAAAGTCGTTAAGTTCCAATGTCTTTAATGTTGTGTTTTACAGGAGATAGTGGGGTTGGTAGCCTTACAGCCAACCTTCCTTCTGCTGTCGACTTACTACCGGTTACTTGGGCTTTAGGAATCAGATTTGGGCCACGCACGGAACCACGTACACTAATTCTAGACCTCTACATATAGTATTATTATTATATTGTAACGACAGAAGCCATTGGCCAGGCAACAGATCGCCTATTGAGGAAATCAAGTGACATTTATATATTTTTATGTACAATATGATTAGCGTTGTTGTTAGCAGAGAAACAGCGGCTTCTGAGTGGTTTTCTTCTCACTGGAAGTTAATCTGTCGTCTCTTTGTGGCCGTTTCTTTGATGTCAATTATGGATAAGATTTTATTTTGATAAATCACACAGTGTTGTACAGTAATATTAACTGGTGACCATGTTTCGAGCACAAACTATTGCGCATAATCATATCAAGTCACTGATACAACTTCTTTCCTTCATTTATATACATGTGTGGAATTGACTAGATATTGGAATAAAATTCAATATGAGATAATGTACATTCAGAAATAATAGTACGAGTGTTATTGATCAATTAAAATAAGATGGGAAATAAGACGAGTGTTTTTATAGTCATAATAAGTTAATTGTTAGAATGTTATGATGTGCTTGAATTGAAATAGAATATTAAGATTATTTATTATCCTCTTCTGATTTGACTGGTGACAATAATACAAGTGTTATTGATCAATTACAATCAGATGGGAAATAAGACGAGTGTTTTTATAGTCAAAATAAGTGACCTGTTGCTGTGGAGCCAGGTACATCGGTCGTTCAACGCGCATCCTGTCTAAAAGTGGTCAAAGAACACTACCCAGCGTGGCTACAGAAAGGAAATAATGGCCATATAAGGAGTGCAATAATCGAACATCTCGTCAACACTGGTCATTCCATCTCAACGAACGCCTCCTTCAAAGTGATCTACAAAATGAAGAACAACCTCCCAAAGACAGTACGATTTCGTCTTCTTTGCATCGCAGAAGCCCCAGCCATCCAGTTGGTGGAACCAGAACTATGCATACAAAAGAAAATTATCCAACCACTTCTACTCGCATGGTAACAACTCCGTTGATTTGACCCAACTCTTTTTTGTCTTTTTGATTTGACCTTACTTCTGTTTGTATTATTATTATTTTTTTTAAACTTAAAACCCTTGTGTAATTCTCTATATCTTTTTGTTTCCATGTACACCCTTTGAGCACACCTCATTCATCAAACTGTTCATGCCATTGCGTAACTCTTATTTAACAATCGTTTTTGACAACTCATCACTTTTGTTGCTATCCTCTTATCAACATCCAATTCATTTGAACTTACTAACCGTATTTTCGTTTGACAAATTTAATGTATACACACATACAAAACAACCATATATATATGCGATTGTACAGCTTTGAAAATGAATTCGTCGAAAAGAGACTCTTTGCTGAACTACTTGTCTTTTGTCTGCTAATGTCCGAATGGGAATTATTCAGGACTTGTTAGGATGTTGTGATGTGTTTGAATTGGAATAGAATTTTAAGATTATTTATTATCCTCCTCTGACTTGACTGACTGGTGGTAAGAATATCTTCCATATTTCTGGTATTTGCATTGAGTCACTTCTGTTGCATGTGTTGGGTGTGTGGACTCGATGAACAAGGATTCAGTAATCAACCTCTCTCTCCACCTACCTAGATTACTTTTTAGAATTTTAACCCTCTCCCACCATGCTATTGTGTGGTTGTGTGTTAATGCATGCATTGCAACTGCTGAGCCTTTTTCTAAATTACTTATCTTCTCGGGGTCAACCATTCTTACCTTATCTAAATTCTTATGTTCTGACAATCTGACTATCCCTGATCTACTAGTTTGACCTATGTAGTTGACCTGACTCACAGTCATTGCAGGGTATTTTGTAAATTATATTATTTAGTCTAATTGGGTCAACAGGGTCTTTTAGCCTACAGAGCTTGTCCTATCTGAGTGAGTTTGTAGGTTTGAATGCCACCCTAATTCCTTGTTTATTGAGAATCCTACGTAGGGTCTCAGATGTCCCCTCCTTATATGGTATAACAGATGACTTATATTCTCTCATCTGTGTTATCATTACTAGTTTCATAATTACTTTTATTTTGCTTTTGGCTTTTTTCGATCTTCCTAATGAATTTTAGAGGATAGTTACTTAAAACCAACGCCTCTTTTATCTGTTTTATTTCATCATTTAGGTCTTTTCTTGTGCTACTTAGAGCTACTGCTCGGTTTGTTAGACACTTAACTAAGCCTGCCTTAACAGTTAAAGGATGAGACGAATTAAAGTCCAAATGTCTATTAGAATGCGTCGGTTTTCTATAAACACTAGTGTGTAGTTTGCCTTCTATTCGTTTTATCTTACAGTCTAACATGGTTAATTCTCCTTGTTCATTTTCTGATTCAAATGTGAATTTTATTCCTTCTACTTGTGAGTTTATATGTGTTAAGAAGCTAGAGATATGTTCTGTTTTTAACACTGTGAATGTGTCATCCACATATCTCCACCATATTTTTGGTGTAGGATCAAATGTATTGAGAGCACTATTTTCCCAACTGTCCATAAATATATCTGCTACGATAGGGGATTTTTTCTATAGTTTGGTTTGTAAGGACTAGTTATGTTTTACGGGATATTGGTGATCCCATTGCTACACCTTCTGTTTGTTTATATATTTTGCCTTGGAACTTGAAGATATTGAATGTGACGCATAACTGAATCCCTAAAATAATTTCTTCAATGGACAGCTTTGTCCTATGACTAAGTTCGAAATCAGAAGTTAGTTCTCTTTTAACCGCTTCTAAGACCATATTGACTGGTATATTAGTGTAAAGACTAGTTATATCAAAACTGACCATTGTTTCGTCATTCGCTAGTTGAATGTTATTTAGTTTATTTTTCATCTCAAATGAATTAGTTAGTCAAGAGTTTGAACGATTTCTAATGGGGCATAATATTAAAGCTAAATATTTTGATAATTCATAAGGAAGGGTATTTCTGAAATCTACTATTGGCCTTATGGGGTATCCTGGCTTATTTAGATTTTAGAAATACCCCAACTTATGAATTATCAAAACACTGAGCTCTAATACTTTGCCCTATCAGAAATCATTCAAACTCTAGATTAACTAATTCATATGAGATGAAAAGTAAACTTAATGACATTCAACTAGTGAATGACGAAACAATGGTTAGTTTATGATTATGAGCGATAGTTTGTGCTCGAAACGTCATCAGTTAATATAACTGTACAACACTGTTTGATTTATCAAAATAAAATCTTATCCATAATGGAGTTATACTCTACCACCACAGTGCCCAAGTTTTTTCATACTTATATCAATAATACGTTTCTCTGAAGGTCAGACCATATATCTCTGAATCGTATCCGCCTACGCAAAGTCTGCTGTGATTGGTTGTTGATTTAGTCTTTGTTCTTGTTTTTTTCGCATGACGAAGATTTAGTACGCAAAAAACATTGACGTAAATTGCTGTCTACCAATTTTGGCTAGCAGACAGCTCTCACCACAACATTATTATTAAAAAAACACATTATGGGGATTGTACATTATGGGGACCAAAAGATGTGCCACACAAAACCTCATAGTTTGTACTACGACTAGAATACCACTTGTCGTATGCAGGTGCAGTGGTTCTATGAAGGAGTCACCCCGTCCCCGACTTAAAGTCTCATCCACAAGGCAATAATGGTGCATCAGCCAGTCCCAACGGGTTGATCTCTGACGAAATCTCAGCATGGATACAAAAGACTAGTTTCGCATATGCTGGTTTACGCCATCTCTGGCTTAGTGGACGTGATATCCGGCTGGCTGTCGACCAAAGGGCGTATGTACTGCTCAGGAATCCTCTCCGTCCTCCGTGATGGCTGTGAGCGAGACCTGGCCATTGAGAGTGGAAGACATGAAAAGATTAGCTGTCTTTGATCATAGGTGCCTGCGCTCTATCTCCTGTGTGAAGTGGTATAATAAGGTGAGCAATATTGAGGTTAGGCGTCGAGTGCTAGGTAAGGAGGGGAAATCAATCGACGAGGCTGTGAAATTAAATCGACTGAGTGAGATGGTTAGCATATGTGTTACGTATGCCTAGTCATTGCCTTCCTCGACGGGCGATGTTAGCTGATATAGGGTCAGGCTGAAAAAGAGCTAGCGGCGGTCAAACGAAAACATGGCACCAATCAATTAAATCTACAACAGCTAGTTTAAGCCATGTAGGAAGGTGTAGACTTCCTAACTGGTTGGGGTCCTCGGGACGGTTAACGTCAGTGGCTGTAGACAATTGGTGATACGGCTCAAAATCCTCGTTCTCAATGGTTGGCGCAGACGCATCCACTCCTTGTGACTTGTGATTCAAATGAAACTGTATCTTTCTTCGTTATTACTATACCTTTGTCTCACACCTCTATTTACTGTCTCTATTATGCATTTCTTCTACTTTCTTCTCTTGCTTTGTGTGCTACATGGAAGGAGCTTAGCGACTTGAACTGCTGCACTTTGGCGCAAATTTCTACGTCGAAAACAGGCAGAGATAGTCACCAAAAGAAGATAGGAAGAAGTGTCTAGCTACCCTAGGCCGTACCGGGTCGGTTTATGTGTGTGTGTGCGGGCCCTACATAAAGTATGATTTTTAAAAATAAATTTAAATTACAATCCATTTTTTTAAATTTTCAATAAGTTTCATTGTTTTACTTTTTCTCAAAAAAAAAAACAATCAGGTTATGGAGGATATTTGTCATAAAATTTTGGATTTATACCCTGCGGATGGAAATACTAATGACGATCAATTTGACAGTGCCAATGTCACCGCAAACAATGGCAGCAGTTCTACTACATCTTCGAGTAACCTTGTCGTCGGTAGTAGTAGTAGTAGACATCATGAGCACGCATCGTTTCATAATACTCTACACCATGATGTGAATAAGTATCATGGAGTAAGTAGCAGTAGAAGTGTTGGTGGTGGCGCTGCTGGGAGTAGTAGTAGCAGTAGACATCGTGGAAGTGAAGCTATCAGAGGAGTAAGAGGTGGAGGCGGCGGTGGCGGAGAACCACCAGCAAAACGACAAGCTTTCATGCGTTCAACAAGTGCAAGTGATTACATCTATCCAACTGCTGTATATCCTGGTGCGTCAGCTAGTGGTACTATCTCGTTGGGTGTAGAGAATACAATGCTAAAGCATATGTCATATCATTCATCAATGCACTATCGTCTACCGTCTGGATCAAGTGTAAATAGTAACCATAGTAACAATAATTTGAATGTATATAAATAAAGATGTATATACGTGTAAGTTATTTATTTGTAAAATTAGTATTTTGAATGTTTTTCGTGTATGATTTTGCATGTATATCATTAGAGCTGTATCGATTGAGAGATGGCTAGGATATGTGTGATGCATGCGCCAAGCCATCACCTCTCTCGACGAACAATGTGCGCTGATTCCATTATGGATAAGATTTTATTTTGATAAATCACACAGTGTTTGTTGTACAGTTACATTAACTGATGACCACACGCTTCGAGCACAATTTATTGCTGCTCATAATCATATCAAGTTACTCACTCACACAACTTTTTTCCTTCATTTATATACATGTGTGGAATCGATTAGATATTGGAATAAAAATCAATATGAGATAATGTACATTCAGAAATAATAATACGAGTGTTATTGATCAATTACAATCAGATGGGGAAATAAGACGAGTGTTTTTATAGTCGAAATAAGTAACTTGTTAGAATGTTGTGATGTGTTTGAATTGAAATAGAATTTTAAGATTTTTGTATTATCCTCCTCTGATTTGACCGGCGGTAATAATAACTCAATCAGAGACAAGCTCTGTAGGCTAAAAGACCCGGTGGACCCCATTGAACAAAATAATATAATTTACAAAATACCCTGCAATGACTGTGAGGTCAGCTATATAGGTCAAACTAGTAGATCGGGGGTAATCAGATTGTTGGAACATAAGAATTTAAGCTAAGGTAAGAATGGTTGACCCCGAGGAGATAAGTAATTTAGAAAAATGCTCAGCTATTGCACTTCACGCATTAACAAACAACCACACTATAGGGTGGGATAGGGTTAAGATTCTAAGAAGTAATCTATGTAGGTGGAGAGAGAGGTTGGGTACTGAATCCTTGTTCATCGAGTCTATACCCAACACAACACATGCAACAGAAATGACTCAATGCAAATACCAGAGATATGGAAGATGTTATTACCACCAGTCAGTCATATCAGAAGAGGATAATAAATAATCTTAAAATTCTATTTCAATTCAAACACATCACAACATTCTAACAAATAACATATTATGACTATAAAAACACTAGTCGTATTTCCCATCTAATTGTAATTTATCAATAACACTCATATTATTATTATTTCTGAATGTACATTATCCCATATTGAATTTTACTCCAATATCTAATCGATTCCACACATGTATATCAATGAAGGAAAGAAGTTGTGTGAGTAACTTGATATGATTATGAGTGGCAATAGTTTGTGCTCGAAACGTGTGGTCGTCAGTCGATATTACTGTACAACACTGTGTGATTTATCAAAATAAAATCTTATCCATAATGGAGTTATGCCCTACTGTGGTGGGAGCTGTCTACTAGCCAAATTGGTAGACAGTAATTTACGTCAATATTTACGCTCCCAAGATTTGTCGTGAGAAAATGTGAACAAAGATTGACTTTGCGTAGGCGGATGCAGTTAACATATAGAGGATTTGACATTCAAGAAACAGTCACAAATAGATGAAAGATTAACTTTACGTGAGAAACAACCAATCGGAAGACTGTGTTTGTTTGCTTAAATAACCATAGTAATGTACATGCAAATATATAAATATGCGTTGATTTCCTTAATAAATGATCTGTTGCCTGACTCTTGCCTTCTGTCGTGACACTACCACAGTGCCCATGTTTTATGCTTATATCAATGTACGCTGATATAGGTTAAGATTGGAGGACAGTTTAAGGTGGCGGGTGGGGTGGTGTATTAGATGGTTGTAACTAACCAGGCAGCAAAGCGGCGGCGTATCTGCAACCTTGGAGAAACAACTCATGTATCTCCTTCTGAGATCCGAACCCGCATCACCCAGTGAGTGCTGTAATCAGAGATGTTACCACTGAGCAAGATATTCGGGCTGGCACTTGACCTCCTGTGGGACTACTGTTTTGGATACTTTGATTGCAGATACACCGCCTAGCCGACTGATGAGTTCCTACAAGCCCGAAACCTAGGTCAATGCAAGGCTTCCTCTCGATTACCTCCAACTATCTAACACCAAGAATTCAAAGTGCACCGTGATGGTCCGCCATGTAGAATGGACTAGACACAACAATACACTAGTTACTAACTAGTGTCTAATTAAAACAATGACATCAGTTTATATGAAGTCGTTGACTGTTAACTTGAATCTCAAGTAGGCAGCTGTAGACTGTCTGAGTGTGTGTGGTCGGTCCTCGAGGGACTAAGGACCAACAACCTGAGTTTCACAGTCAATGGTACAGATGCATCCTTTCATTTGTAGTCTTCCGTATCCATTAAATTCTTACTATTGTCCATACGCCGTCTCTGGCGTAGACGTGGTATCCAGCTGGCTGTCGACCAAAGAGCGTTTGTACTGCTCAGCAGTCCTCGCCGTCCTCCTTTATGGCTGTGAGGGAAACATGGCTGTTGAAAGTTAGAGGCATGAAAAACCTGGCTGTCTAGCCGTCTTTGATCATAGATGTTTGCATTCTATCTCCCGTGTGAAGTGTTATGATAGGGTGAGCAATATTGAGGTTAGGGTTCGGTCAAGTGCTAGGTATGGAGGGGAAATCAGTCAGCGAGTTTGTGAAGTTACACTGATTGAGTTGGTTAGGACATGTGTTACGCATGCATACCTTGCCATTGCCTTCCTCGACTGACGGGCAATGTTAGCTGACTGATGATCGATGAGGTTGGAGAAGAGTGAACTGATGGTGATCAAACCAAAACACAGCTTCATCGATCAGTGAAATCCACAACAGTTAAAGCTACGTAGGAAGGTGTAGATTTCTTGGTTGGGGTCCTCGGGATGGTATAACCAGTGGCTGGAGACAATTGGTGATGTTTTTTTTTATTCCTTCACGTTCCCAGTGGAACATAGGGCTTCAAGCTAGAAGCTTGAAGTTTCTGTAGCAGTGTTTATTTTTACAGGATGAGGTGGTAGCCTCATGCCAAACCTTCCCTCTTCGCTAGTTCTACCACTGGCTTAGTGAGGTAAAGGAGTGCGTCGGCCGGTGATCGAACCCCGGACCATGTGCATGGTCGGCGAGCATCCTAACCGCTGTGCCACCGACGCATTGGTGATGCGGATGGCTCAAAATCCTCGTTCTCAATAGCTGGCACAGATGCATTCACTCTTTGTGACGTAATCACGTGCCTTTAGGTAGATTGTTTGGTACTCGATTTACAGCTGTAAATGGCTCATCAATTTTGATGTGGTGTTCACTATCTACTAAATGTGACAAAATGGCAGTATTTATTGATTTAGTTACACTTTTTCCGAGCCAAAATTTTGTCGGTTTAAGGAACCGATAGATCGAATTAAGAAAAACAACATAATTTACTAAATAACGTGCAGTGATGACTGTGAAGTCAATTACGTAGATTGGTCAAACTAGTAGATCGGGGTCAGTTAGAAAGTTTAGCTAGACCTAGAATGATTGACCCTATTAAGTTAAATAACCTGGAAAAAAGTTTGGCCATTGCATTCACATGCATCTATTCATACACCATAGGATGGGGGGCACACGGTGAGAGTATTAAAAAGTAATATAGTTAGTTGGAGGGAAAGAGAGAGAGAGAGGGAGAGGTTAATCACTCAATCTTTGTTTATCGATTCAATACTGCACACATGCAATTGAAATGATGTAACGCCTGTCCTGGAGATTTGGAAAATTGTAACGAACAACACTGGGAAGGGAGACAGAGAGAAAGAGAAACATGTATATATAAAGCAAATTACGAAACCATATGACTAAAATTGATATGATTATGAACAATAAATTATGTTGGTGACGTCATCCAGTTATTAATAATACTGCATCATCACTGTGTGATATGTTTAAGATAAACTTATCGAATATAGAATTACATTTTTTACCACAGTGCCTAAGTTTTAAACTTACATCAACCAATCAGTAACACGTTTTTTTATTCCTTTATGTTCCTCGTGGAAAATACGGCTTCAAATTCAAGCCTTGAAGTTTCGCTAGCAATGGTTTTATTTTGTTACGGGGTAGGATAGCTAGTCTCACACCCAATCTTCCCTCTTTGCCAGGCTCAAGACCAGCTAAGCAAGGTTTAGGAGTGTGTCGGTCGGGGCTCGAGACCTGGACCACCTCAGTGGCTGGCGAGCAGTCTACCTCTGCGCCACTGATGCAAAGCCAGCTCCTCGACCGGAAATCGAACCCGAGTCATCCAGTAGCACGTGATGTAATGCATCTATGTTTGCTTTCTTAAGTGGTATTAATCAAACCAACATCTGGATAATTTCGGTTGCCGAAACAAAATTGTCGTGGAATTTCTTCTGGAACTGTGTAATTTGAAAATGATGAATTTGACTGCATGTGTACTCACCACTTCGACCAAGTAAAAGCAGTTATCCAGAATTAGGATGGTTTGAACTAATTCAGCTCTGTTTGATAAAGTTGGAACCGAGATACACTACCGATGGTTTCAGCCCCAAAACCGAACGAAACAACCACTTTATGTTCCAGTCACGTGGGGGGATGCGTGCTGATGAAGAGTCCCAAACACTAGAATGAAACAGCCGACTGTCTAGTCCTCCCAGCTGGTTTTCCAATAGTTCTCCCACTGATGTCAGCTCATGATGAAATCCTGTAAGCGGTCAAATCAAATCCCTGAAAAGCAACACTTGCATATGAATCTAAGGCTCATTAGCGACTGACCCTATTCAGGTAGGTAGTAGTTACTTGAGTTCTAGTGGAAATTTGTGACCAGTGAGTAGGGTGTGAAGAAGAATACTTGCCATCGATGACATTGCCTAGTATCAGTCGCTCTATATCGTGAATTGGCATAAGTTGAAATTAATGTAAGTGCAGAACTTAGGCACTGTGGTAGAATTTAATTCCAAATTAGATAAGTTTATTTTATACATGTTTCTCTCTCCCTTCCCAGTGTTGTTCGTTTCAATTTTCTAAATCTCCAGGATAGGCGTTGCCTCATTTCGATTGCATATGTGCAGTATTGAATCGATAAACAAAGATTGAGTGAATAACCTCTCTCTGTCTCCACTTAACTATATTACTTTCTAATACTCTCACCTTGTGCCCTCCACCCTATGGTGTGTGAATAGATGCAAGTGAATGCAGTACAATGCAATGGGTGAGCTTTTTTCTAGGTTATTTAACGTAATAGGGTCAATCATTCAAGGTCTAGCTAAACTGTCACGTTCCAACAATCTAGCTGACTGATCCCGATCTACTAGTTTAATTGACTTATGTAATTGACCTCACAGTCATCATTGCATGGTATTTGATAAATTATATTACTTTTCGTAACTGGATTTATTGGGTCCTTAAGGTGATAAAGTGTATCTCTGAGAGAGTTGGTTGATTTAAATGCCTTCCTAACTGATCCCAGCCTCCGGACGTTCCTTCTTTATATTGCAGAGCTACAGAGACTTTGAATTCTATAACATTTTCGTTATGCCTTGACCATGGTCTACGAGTTGTTCCATATTAGTTTGTTTATTAGATGTATCACACAGTCAGTGAAACAGTATTATTTACTGGATGACGTGGTTTCGACCAAAATTTATTGTTTCTAATCATATCATCAATTATAACCACACAACTTCGAAACTTGAGTTTTATAGTTTTCTTTGTTCTCGCCCATATGTCGTCGTAGGCGTGGTAGTAGAATTTTCCAGATATCGGGGACAGGTGTTGAATCATTCCTATTACACGTGTTTGCAGTTGATTCGATAAACAACGCTTCTGATGTGGTTGTGTTCTCTGAGCTGGATGGTTTGGTTGCGAAGCTTTCATTGCTCTACTGAGCAACATCTTCAGCGCATACATCGAAGTATGCTCAGAGAACACAACCACACCAAAATTATCCACCTGAGCTACAAATCTTCTCGATTATATCTAAACAAAGCTTCTGTTATCAATCTCTCCCTCCACCCTGTGACATTAGATTTTAAAACTGTCATTCTATCCCATCCATCCTATTGTATGATTTGTTGTGTGTAACTGCATGTAGTGCTATAGCTGAACTATTCTTTAGATTTCTTATTCGGTTCAACTAATCTAGATTTTGCTGCTGGGTTTTTATGTTCGGCTAGTCTGACTGACTGACCCTGTTCTACTAGTTTGACCTAGTTCACCTCTCCCAGATATCTGGAAAATTCTACTACCACGCCTACCACAACAAATAGGAGAGGACAAAGAAAACTTTAAAACTCAAGTTTCAAAGTCGTGTGATTATAATTGATGAAATGATTATGAACAATAAGTGAATTGTGTTCGAAACTGTGTCATCCAGTAAATAATAATACTGTTTCACTCACTGTGTGTGATACCTTTAATAAACAAACTAATATGGAATTACTTACTACCACAGTGCCCAAGTTTTACACATATATATTACTACGAGTTGTTCGCCTTGTAACCGGAAGGTCTTGGATTCAAACTCTGGAGGTGTGTGTACTGATGAAGAGTCCTTAGCACACTAGACCAAAGCAGCTGTCCTCGTATTTGCAGGTAGTTTTCCAATGGTTGTCTAATTGATATCAGCTCAAAATGAAATCTTGTAATCAATCACTTGCGTGAGCATCAGCATTTTCTGACTACTCATATTATTCACTGAGTAGTATATACCATCGTGTATTTATTATGTCACTTCACACATTTTATTATCTTCATAATGACTATTATTATTATTACTATTATGGTTATCATCACTTTTACAGCCGAATTTTACTGTACCATTGGAAGTATTCAATTGCAATTTCTATACATCATTGTGGATACCACTGTGTACAGAAAGCTGTAAATGGAGGCTGTCTCAATCACACACACTGCAGAGTCCTGATATTCGTCAGTTGACTGTCTCTCTGTCTCTCTCCGTCTCTCTGCGTATCTCTCACTACCTACCTCTCAGGCAGATGTTTCTTTAATCTCTTCTTGTTTTTTCTTTCTTTGCTTTTATATGCAGAATGTGTTTTATAATATTTTTATTAATAATTTTCTCTTACTTTTCATGTACATATTTCTTTGCTTTGTGATTTCAAGTAATACATGTTTTCTCGTCTCTTTTGAATGTGATTTTTAATAATAATAATAATAATAATTTGCTTTATTCCAAAACAATAAGTACTTGTGATACAGAATGGAATTCTCAACATTTTTACTACAGTATTGCATCCAGTTAGTACATTATCAATAAATAGAATTCTACATAGAGTGAGGAAACCAACAGTTCATTATTAAAACAATACATTGGCATGTCAGTAGCAAAGGTAAAGCTGAAATAGTGTTTGAAGGTGTTAGAAAAGTGGGAGCTGTCTTATTAACAGGCGTAAGCGAGAGAAAGAGACAAAGCAGCACATAACGGAAAAAGAAGAGAGAGAAAAGGAAAAGAAAGAAAGAAAATGTTGTACCTATTGATGATGTGAGTTTGAAAGACGAGATCCAGTTGTACTACTGACTATTTAATGAATTATAGGTGTCACGCCTAATGCTTTCTTTATCGCACAGAACACGAGCTATGTAGGGTATGGTTGAGTTTTTGTACTTGCTGGTGCGAGCATATAGTTTTCCAAATAGGTTTCTGGTTTTACCTGATGAGATGCAAGGGGAGAGTTGTGAGTGAAGATGGTGGTGTGAGTTAGATAAAATGGATTTGGCCCATTTTTCACATGAGTCCATGTGCCTGTCAACCAGAATATTAACAAGCTGGTTAAGTGGCACATTGCTTTCTCTGCTGACAACCTTTAACATCCTGGTCTATAGTAGGTATAGTCTTTCTTCAGTAGCCCGGGAAAAACTAAGGGGGAACAATAGAGAATAATAGGCAGGATGCGAGAATTAACGAATTGTAGGAGTAGGGGTTGGGTAATACCAGAATGTTTTAACTTTTTAATGTAGAAGGTAAGACGGAATATTTTCTTAGAAATTGCTAAGATATGAGACGACCAGGAGAGATCAGCAGATAGAATGACACCTAGGTATTTAATTTCCGATTTGGTTTCTATTTCAGTGCCGTCTATGTTGCATACCTCGTGAGAGCCAAACAGTTTGTTTAGGTCGGATTTATGCCTAAAGGTGAAATTGACCGTTTGGCATTTGGAGGGGTTTAGGGTAAGACCATTTTCCTTGGACCACTGGCTGATTTCTGACAGAAAGCCATTAAGTTTAGAGCAGTCGCTTTGACATTTGATGGGCAAAGATACAGACAGATCTTCAGCGTATTTGACAAAATTAATGTCATTTGAAGATGGTAAGTCATGTATAAAGAAAGAAAAGAGAAGTGGGGAGAGTACAACGCCTTGGGGGACTCCGGCTTCAGTGAGTACAGCAGAGTATGATTTACCTTTGTATACGGTGTACTGCATTCTGTTAGAGAAGTAGGAATGCAACCAGTTAGTGACCCAGGACTCAGTTTTTGTCAAAGAGAGCTTATTTAGCAGGAGACATCTAGGAACAGAGTCGAAAGCAGAAGTGAAGTCAAGAAACGTGCAGCGGACGTATTTGACACCTTTATCTAATGATGAGACGATGTTGTTGTGTAAGACGGCTGCAGCGTCTAAAGTGCTCCTACCCTGTCTATAAGCAAATTGTTTGGGGTCTTCAAAGCTTTTAAGGGAGGGTTCGAGTTAAGAAGTATTAGTTTTTCCATAAGCTTTAGAAACGGGGAAGTGATGGCAATGGGTCTGAACTTTACGTTCTTGCCGTTTCCAGGTTTGGGGACGGACAATTTTGATGTCTTTCCATGCATCAGGTACGATATTTTTGGAGAAGGAAGCATTTAGGATGTTGGTTAGTGGAGAACACAACACATCTGCACATTGTTTTTAGAACATATGCAGGTATACCATCAGGGCCAAGGCTACGTGAGGGCTTGAGCGTTTTGAGACATTTTAGAACATCGAGAGTATTAAAGTCATGAAAGTTATCAGCTACATGATAGGTAACATTAGAAGTAGTTAAAGTAGAAGGACAGCGTATAAAAGACTGATTAAGAGCATTAACATCATAAGAGGGAAAAGTATTACAACGCTTACTATTACCAGTAATTTCATTAAAAAGTTTCCACATACTGATTGGAGATTTACATGATAAAAGTGTATCATTATAGATAGCATTAAGATTTTTGATTTCAGATTTGATCTGAGCATTAATCTTTTTGAGTCGTAACTTGTCTTTGGATTTGTACAAAGTTTCTTTTTTCCTGCGAAGTTGTTTGAGATAAGGAGATGAGAAGCGGTCGAGGCGTTTGAATAGAGTTTGTTTGGGACAGCATATATCAAGGCAAAACTTAAGATAATCCGTTATATTGACAATTGTGTCATCTAATGAACTTTCATGGAATAAATCCCAGTTAGTATTTTGTAACATGCATCTTAGATTAAGTAAGTTTTCGGATGAGTAGCATCTTTGTTGTGCTTTCATAGACAGATGAGAGAAGACTTTGATATGTGTTTTGCTGTAAATTTTTGGTAGAACATGAACAATAGAGTGATGCGAGTTGAGGATTGGTGCACGTTTACGTGCTTCATAGATTCCTTCGTCATTTAAAACGCTGAGTCCTTTTTTTATAAATTTGGATAGTGTTATTTTATTAGATACAAGATGGAGATTATCTGAAAAATGTGGTGTGCTGTGATGCATTGCGGACACTAATTTGATCCTTCACACAATCCTCCAGTTTATATGACTCTGCTATGCGGAGTTCATCAGCATCTTTGTTGGCGAGTATGTATGTTCTCAAGAGTTGATTTGTAAGGATAAGATTTGTTTTTCGAGTTCCACCACGGATGGATATCTGTTATAGAACCATTGAAAACCAGCACTGAAGTACTGGGTAGCTGTTTCATCCTAGTTTGCTACTCATTGGCAGTTCGCATCCACTGTCAGAGTTTGAACCCAGGCGCTTCTGTAACGACAGAAGGCAAGACTCAGGCACAGATTGTTTATCATGGAAATCAACACATATTTATAGATTTTCGTGTACATTATTATAGATTATTGTTAGCTGACAAACCCAGTTTTCTGATTGGTGGTTGTTTCTCACTAAAATTTAATCTTTCATCTCTATGTTGCTGTCTCTTGAGTGTCAGATCATCTGTCTGCTAATTGTGTCCGCCTACGCAAAGTCTGTTGTCCGTCTTTGATCTTGTTTTCATATGACTAATATTTGAGACATAAACATTGACGTCAATTACTGTCTACCAATTTGGCTAGCAGCCATCTCTCACCACACTTCCAGTTACAAGGCAGGCTCGTAGACTATTCTGTCTGTCTGTTTGGATTCAACATAGAACTTGGCACTGAAGAGCAGCAGTTCGAGTTGCCACGTTCCAAACAGCACACAAAGGTAGACAAGAAAATGAGTGAAGAGAATCAATAGAGTTTTGACAAGTATAAGAGTGAAACAGAATGAGTAATGGTAGAAAGGAATATGAAAGTTTACAGAGACTGAATACATCTGCGCAAGCCATTGACAACGATTTTGAGCCATGTCACCTATTGTCTCCAGCCATTGATTCTTAGAGTCCCGAAGGCGGGCCCCAACCCGGAAGTCTGTATCTCCCTACCTGACTCAGTTTAACTGTCAGGGATTTCATGGATTGATGAGGCCATGTTTTTGTTTGGCCACCACTTACTCTTTTCCAACCTGCACCTATATCAGCTACTAAAGCCCGTCGGGGGAGGCGATGGCTTGACATGCGCAGCACATAACCTAGCCATCTCAATCTATGTAACTTTATAGCCTCTTCTCTTCGATTGATTTTCCCTCTTTGCCCAACACTCTACGCCTAACGTCAACATTACTTACTTTATTATATCACGTAACGTGAGAAAGAGATCGTAGACACCTATGATCAAAAACAGTCAACCTTTTCATGTCTTCAACTCGTATTGGCCATGTTTCAAAGCCATAGAGAAGGACGGGGCGAACTGCTGAGCATTACATACGTCCCTTGGTTGATAGCCGGATGTCACGCCTACGCCAGAGACGGTGTAAGTTAGCGAAAGCGTAGACTATTCACCCACTGGCAGCTAACTCAATGGCCAACCCATGAATTGTAACTTCTACCGATTCATGATTTCAGTGGCGAGTATTTATTCTCACTCTCGATCAAAGTAAAAACTCATAAGTTGGTTATTGACTCGGTTGCCAGTGGCTGAATGGTCTACGAGCTCGCCTTGTAACCGAAAGGTGCTGGCTTCGAAACTTAGGGGGTGTGCAGTGCCGATTAGTCCCAAACACTAGGACGAAACAGCTACCCAGTACTCCCTGGTTCTCTAACTGATATGAATTCGGGATCAAATTATTATCATTATTACTCGTCATTTGTGTTCCGAGAGGAACATAGGTGTTTCGCATTGCATATCCTGTCCTCTGATGTCATTTTTAACTGGCTCCGTAACTGCCACATGGCCTCCTCCATGTTTTTATTTGTTTCACATTTAGTGACCTGTCGTGTGACTTCACTCAATGGTGTCCTCTTAGCGCGTGTGTTTAACACCATCACTGTTGCCTTTTGCATGTTTGTCAGGCAAAAAGTTGTTGATTATTTCGTTGATCGAGTTCTTTCATGCTTATTCTTTCTAACCGGTCATATCTGTCCTGTAGTATGGAGCGAAGGTAAATGTTGATGTGAATCTGCACTAGCTAGCCTGTTGGAAATGCTTTTCGTGACACATAAGCAAAGTTCTCGGACCGTACAGAGGCAGTGACTAACTTGACATTAGTGTTGAAAATATATATCTTGTTATAAATACCCAGTATAGAAGATTTCCACACGAATGTAAGAGTAAGGGAGTACTGCCTTACTTTTTAAATCCTACATCTGACATCCTTATCTGTGCCACCTGTAGATAAAATTGTAACAACAGAAGACAAGGGCCTGGCAACAAATAGTTTATTTAGGAAATCAACAGATATTTATAGATTTTCATGTACATCATAGATTATGGTTAGCAAATAAACACAGTCTTCTGATTGGTAGTTTCTCACTGAACGTTAATCTCTCATCTCTTTGTGGCCTTTTCTTTGAAGGTCAGACCATATATCTACGAATCGTATTTGCACACGC